CATCTTCCCTTGTGTCTCTCCTCTCCAATCTGCAGCAGGACTAACCAGTGTGATGATGGGTGCTGGTGTCTCTATGTACACAGGAGTGCCAGGGCTTGAAATATGTTTTTCTTCCTGCACCAGACAACCTTTACCTGCACTACTCAGAATTTGGGAAGGCTCGCTCATACCGGTACTAGAAACTGTTCGAAACCATTGGCATTGTTTTCTTTACACTTCAAAATGTATGCTGTTTTCTCTTTCTATAGTGCCAGGGAAAGAAATTCAGAAATCTCTATTTTGCATACCTACAATGAAAATTACCTGCACCAGATGCATTTTGTAAATTTTACATGCACCACAGTGGATCACACCAAAAGCTGTATAGAAACCATTGCCATTTATTCCTTTTACACTTCATTCAAAATGTAGGCAATACTGGCTAAACTGGTTAACAAAATTCCACACAGTATATAACGCAAGGTTACCAGTTTACGGTCGAATTATGGAAAATTCCATTTTTTGTGAAAACGCATGGGCAGAACTAAATATTTAACCCTTGTGGAGAAACAGTAGTTCGTCGGTTATAAAAGTGTGTGCCGTGTCATTTCTTCCCTGCGTTTTTTGTGCCGTGCCAGCTTTTATTTATTTAGTAGTTAACAGTGGAGAATTGCTCTAGGGTGACCAATTAACGGTCACTTGGACGTTTGTCCTTGTATGCTCTACGTATAAGCGCACATAAACAAACACTTTCTGCAAAAAAATACCGAAGTGGTCAACAACAAACCACGGTAAAATGTCAGTGTGTAGCCCACTGTCGCATGCAGTAGCGCTGTGGTGCTAAATGAGGCTGAACCTGCATTTTTCCCTTAGTAGAACGTGACATAATGGCCCAAGATGTTCCATTAAACCGTTGCAATAGATAACAAGCGTCTATGCCCCTCCAGACACAACGGAACGTCGTGAAAACCCGAGCAAACTTTTTGCTACGGAAGAAGGAAGCCATTTTGGCATTTTTGCATAAATTAATGTGCAACAGCGCCACAGTGCGACTTTTACGTACCTTTCTGCAGTTTAAAACCGTGACGTCACCTGATGCAACGATGATGATGATCAAAATGGCGTTCGAAAAAACGCTAGTCGGCGAGAACTGCCACTGTACTTTTGCTTGTTTATTTCAAGGTGTTTGAAAGTTTCATACCTCACAACACCATGGATGATTGAAATAAGAAAGCCAGGTTTGATGCCAGCTATCGTTACAATTTCCTAGCATTCTTGGGATTTTAAAAAATCGACGAAATGTTGAGTATTGTATTATGTGAAGAAAAACACAACATGCGTCCAAGTCCATGTTACCTTGCTGTCCCGTCATATCGGAAGATACTCTGCTGTGTCGCTGAATGCAAACTTATTCCCATCCAGTGAATAAATAAAAGACACATATAAGGATCATATTCATGTTATTCTTTGTTGCTCACGACCGTTGATTTTTGGCTGGTACACCTCGAAGCGTGGCCGTGTCACTAACTGACCGTAAACTGGTCCTGCACGTAAACTGGTAACCTTGCGTTACCTAAAACAGTATAATATTATACATGTATGCCCAGTACATGGACCATCATCATCAATTTTACCTCTACTAACCTGCATATGCTTTTGAGTTTTCCTCCCAGCCCTCAGTTTTCCTCTTATTCTCTTGCTGAATTTTTACATCTGACTGCCTGAGGACCAAACAACTAGATCAGTGTGGCCTAAGCTGCTTTTGTCAGTGTGACCTTAAATGACCTCCACGGCTTAACTGTATAAAGCCAGTCCATCGTGCTTCGTGCGTGAAACACCAGAGTATTTGATTTCTGTTATCTCTGAAATCCAGGCTTGTAACCTTCCCCATAGATACCTGCTCCAACCCTGCACTGAGGAGCAACCCTGATCCTTACTCTGATAAGGCCACACCAATTTAATTTGTTGGTTCTCAAATTCGCCTCTTCATTTTTTTCTGATTTGCAAAAAAAAAAAAAAGATTCTGGTTCTGAATCAACTCATAAATGCTCATATTTTGGCCCCAACGGTTGATGACAGTCCTTTTCTTCCTAGTTGTTACAGTTTTTCCATCTATCAATGCAGTGGTTTGATTAAAAGTTCAGCATTCATTGTTTGAATATTAACCCAGCCTTTTGTGTTGACTTCATGGCTCCTATCATAGCATTTGGGGTTATCATAGGATACCTAGACCTGTTTTTATTTTTTATTTTTACCCTGTCGCTTCTTATATTTTCTGAAACAACAAATTAAATTGGTATGGCCTGAAGCCTGTTCTCCTTCCTCTGCAGGAAGAAATCTTGCTTCTATCGTTCATCAATTCCTTCCTACGGTCTTGTTTACATGGAAGTTTCCGCTACGAGATGGCAGAATTTATTTCAAGGTCTTTCAGGGCTCAAAATACTCAGTATACTCAGAAAAACTCTAATTATTTAGTTATTTATCCATTGTTTCCATCAGGCTTGAAATACAACATGGAGTATACAAATATGAACATTTCTGCTGCTATAGTATATACTGATGATGATTTTCCCCCTCAGTTAGAGGGATCCTGGGTGTATAGAGGGTTTAGGTTGGTGTTAGGGCATCCAGCCGTAAAAATCTTGCTTAAAAAAAAGACTTGCACTTGGTACAAACCCTTGGTTTAGAGAAAAAAACGATGTTAAAATTGGATTTAAAAAGAATGATGAAATATTCTATCATATGAGACGGGAAATCTTCTCTAACAGTAAATTCTTGCCCGAGGTCATGTTTAAATGGAAATCATATCTCAGCTCGGCAGGAATGGAACTCATTTCATGTAATCCAAGGTCCCTTTTTTCTGAGTGGAGCTGCGTAATGTAGCTTTTTGTCCACAAGCTCCGGTTTTTTAGAACTGCTTACAGGATTATACTAGCTTCATAGGTGGAGACTTGGATGTCTCTTAGGTATTTCTTATTTCACACTTAAGCTTCTTATAGATCTCAAGTAGCAGTCACAAGGTCTTAAGGTATAAGTACTTGAGGTGAATAAAAATGTAGAGATTCCAGGGCTTGAAATACTGGGTGCATGTTCACCTTAGTGCACCCAAATTTGGAGATGTGCAACCAATTTTTTTTTTCTGTGGGTGCACCAGTGCACCTAAATATTTTGTAGGTTTACATTTGTACATAATGTAAAAATTTCAAATGTATAGTAGTGCACAGCATATTATTAGCATCTCAACTGTTGGGGTAAAATATGAGCATTTTTTAGTTGATTCAGAACCAGAATTTTTTTTTTGGCAAATCAGAAAAAATGAAAAGGTGAGTCCAAAAACCAACAAATTAAATTGGTGTGGCTGAGTGTTAGAAAAATCTTTATATGGTGCACCCAAAAATAATTTTGTGCACTCCATTTTTAAGTTAGGTGCACCAGTGCACCTATTCCCCAAAATGAATTTCGAGTCCTGTTTTACATGTGCAGTGCAGTTGGATTAAATTTTATGGCTTGTTATCAGACACTGCTACACATAAACCTGTTTCCTGGACTATATTTCCAGTGGAGATGGTTTTGTCCTTGGTGCTGAAACGGTGGTTATGAGAATTTTACTTTCTTATTTCACATTCCTAGAGACTGTTATTAGTAATAAGAATGACCACATTTGTTTATACCAGTATTAAATGTATGCTAGTATACTTTTACAGCATATTCTTGACAACCAAGTGTTAGAAAATCTTTATATGGTGCACCCAAAAATGTTTTTGTCCACCCAGGTTGGGTGCACTAGTGCAAAAATGAGTTTCGAGCCCTGTGTTACATGTGCAGTGGAGTGGGATGGATTGCTGTTGCATGTTATCAGACACTGTTGCGTATAACCTGTTTCCTGGTCTACATTTTTATTTTCCAGTGGAGATGGTTTTGTCCTTGGTGCTGAAACGGTGGTTATGAACATTTTACTTGCTTACTCCACACTTAAGCTTCTTACAGTTACAATGGTTACCATTCCTAGAGTTCCTAGAGACTGTTACTTGTTAGAATGACCACATTTATTAATTTTATATCAGTAAGGTAGCTGCCTATTGGTAGTAACTGCCTTTCCTAAAGACCAGACATGCTGACTGTGTGATTCCTGTAATCATTGTGGTCATCATGTTTCAATGCAAAACAAAGGAGTCTATAAAGCATGTACTTAACAACATTCACTAAGCACAGGTCCTTATTGAGACGAAGCTGTTTTATTACAAGGCCTGACTGTAACAACGCACCAACATAATGATATAACTGATGGATTTGATTACATGTATAACGACTGGAAATTTCCCGGTGTATGGAACTGTAACTGGAAAACCTCACAGAAGCTCTGACCGCTGTATTTTGGTTCTTGTTCTGGAGTTTTTTTATATTCTATACTTCATAGTGGAATGTAAGGGTCTCACTTTCATCACAAAGTCACTGAACATTGTATTTCTGTTCCTGGAGTTTTACGAGTAATAAACTTTCTATTCCAACATTTATTGCATGGCGACGGCACCCTAAAGTTTTTTCAACCTATATAAACCACCAAGGTGGACAAACGCATAAACGGACATAATCAATTTTACCTGAGGAAATTTCTGTGTAAAATGCCTTTCCTAAGGCCACAAGATCTGTGGCATGGCAGGATTCAAACCTGGGACCTCTTGGTTCCGAGCCAAATGATTTGTCGTTATACCACACAACCTCACCCAGTAATAAACCTGCCTGCTTACCCTGTCTAAATGCTTAGGCCAGAACTGGCCCCTTGCTCCTCTTCATTTTTCCCTCCAGGCAGCACGGTCCTTAGCCTTTTGTTCAGCAAACCTGAGGGACCATCCTGTGTCATTATAGTATTACCAATGAACTCCCTTTGCTTTTTCCAGAGTGGAATGCAAAGGTCCAGCCTGGATCACACAAGTCACAAAGACACTGAACACCGCAGTTTTCTTCTTGTAAAGCTAGCCTAGTAATACCACGGGGGTAATCTGTTTCTCCTTTTATTCCAGAGTGGAATGCAAAGGCCCTGCCTCGATCACAGAAGTCACGTATCACAGCAAGTTCATCCCCGCAGACGAGGCGGAGGAAAATAAGAAGATTAGAGAGCTGAAGGACAAGCTGAATGATCTGGAGAAGACAAAAAAGGCTCTTCTGGCCAAGAAACACCGACTGGAGAAACAGAGGAGCGTTCTGGACGGCTTCGCAGATAACATGATCAAACCCACCTCACCAGGGGAGAATAAGGTGTGTAAGAAATGTCGTAGTGCAAACAAAGCAGGAGAAACAGATCTGGCACGCATTAACATGATCAAACCCACATGTGCGAGGGAAAATAAGGTAGGGAAGGTGATTACATGTCAATAAAGTTGGACAAAAACTTACTTGAAGCTGGAAAAACTGTCAGGATAAATAGAGAAACCTACTGGTGTGCAGATAACATGATCAAACCTACATCTCCAGGGGAGAATAAGATTAACAGTAAGGGAATATATTATACAACACAGGCGATCTGGATCCGACATACGGGAGGGCTGGGACCGAGGGCGATGTGGAATACACTGTGTTGTATTCTATTCATGTCATATACCCACCCAAGAAAATGTGGCTTTCAATGCAAAAAAGGCAAAATTTGGTGTCCCTAAACCAAAAATGTAACAACATCAGTTCCAACGTCCTAATCCTGTATTCAAGTTTTCGAAAGCGGCGCATGCGGTTAGGGAAAAACGCGGTCGGCGTGGCTTTACCTTCAGTTGTTACCTACAGAGGCTTGTAATCTGCAACTTTTGTTTTCCTACACAGGAATCGAACAGTGACAACAGACTGAGTTTGAACATGGACACCTCCCTGCTAGACTGCATGTCCGGCTTCTTCGACTTGTACGACAAACAGGTAGGGTCTACTTATAGTAAACTTGTAGGTTTTACGATAAGACTTGTAAAAGAGTTTTGTTGTATCATACAATTATGATATTTTATGTGCCAAGCAGCACGCTTCATTTCTATGAAAACAGGTCATGACATTGTCAACTTACTTTCAACAAAGTGTGTGGGGTAGGCCTCCAGCTGCATACTGCACTTCAATAAGTCACGTAGTCAGATTCATGTATCCCTGCAGGATCTGTTTTTGTCTTTACTGTAAGATTGTCTGAGAGCCAGGCCCTTGCTTAATACATATTTGAGAACCAGAGAGATGACTTACATGTAGTGATCAACTTGTTACACCTAACCCTTGAACTTCTAGCTCTAGACATTGTTTAAAGCTATCTATTGACAATGCCCCTACTGTACTTGGTGACAGCGAGTTCCACTCTGCGATAGTGCTAGGAAAGAATGAATTCTTGAACACCTCAATCCTTGAATTGGTTGATAACTCTGGTACTTGAAAGCATGGCTATTTCTTTTTAGCAAGCTAAAACTGGATTGAGATCACTTTCCTTCCCCTCCAGGCCCAGAAGCTGGATGAATCCCTGCAGGATCTGGATCAGGAGATCGACACGAACGAAGACGCCGCCGCCGTCACCAGGAAGAACATCCAGGAACTCGAGATCAGCAAAGATTCTCTCATGATCAGGTAAAATCTTACTGCTCTTCAAAAACAGACTCCCTCATGATCAGGTAAAAACTTCTGCTGCTCTTCAAAAACAGACTCCCTCATGATCAGGTAAACTTTGGCTGCTCTTCAAAAACAGACTCCCTCAGAACCAGGTAAGGGCAGTTCTCCTGCCTTACAGACTCCCTTATAACCAGGTAAAACAGGTCTGTTGGGGAACTCGAGATCAGCAAAGACTCCCTCATGATCAGGTAAAAACACTCCTCTTGCCTTACATACAGACTCTCTCATGATCAGGTAAGGGCAGTTCTCTTGCCTCACAGACTCGCTCATGATCAGGTAAACTTTGGCTGCTCTTCAAAAACAGACTCCCTCAGAACCAGGTAAACCTCACAGTTCTGTTGGGAACTGGAGATCAGCAAAGACTCTCTCATGATCAGGTAAGGGCAGTTCTCTTGCAGACTCACTCATAACCAGGTATACTTCTGCTGCTCTTGAAAAACAGACTGATCAGGTAAAAACGCCTAGATGCGAAAGTGGTGTTCAATGCCGCATAGGTGAGGTAGGTTTACTTTCACCTTTTCAACAGGGGAAAGTTTGAAAAGTTTCTAAAAAAAATACTGTCTAATAAAGCAAAATGTTATTATCATTATGGTGGCGAGTACATGTATAAGACTATGATGGTAGCTAATTTTGTTGTACTTTATCGAAAACGAAGTCTGTTTAAAAAGATTCAATCTTTGAAACACTGAGCTTTGAAAGTGTCAAGACAGTGTTTTCATTCTGTGTGTTGTATGATGGCCTGTGCTGTAAGCTTCACTTACGTGTATGACACCATCATCATCTTTGCTAGAATACCAGAGAAATATATATACATTGTATATTATTAAGCATGTGCATGTTGCCTGATGCCTGTAGTATTGCATATGGTAAAGTTTGTAGTTCTGAAGTTGCTCTTCCTGTATAATTCCCACTGACTGACTCTGTCTGCACTCTCTCCTGACTGCCTCTGCCTGCTGCCTGCTGTTTGTAGGTCTCCTCTGAAAACCAGAAACAGGCCTATAGAAAAACCAAGGTAACGCACTTCTGCATCTCTCCACTTAAACTATGTACTCATGCGTCAAAATGCAGTTACTCCAGCAACTGGGTATGATTTTGGAAAAAAATCATATCCAGTAACTGTTGCTCGAGTAACTGCTTTTTTGGCGTATCTTATTACCTGGATGTCTAACCTTCATCGATGCAATGTACTAAATGGTTTAACCGCTCTACACTGCATGGTAGTCTTGTAGGGTTAAGGCTTTAAACTCACTCTGTCAAGCTCTGTTCACTGTAACTTGTTCTTATGAAAGACTCATGAAAGAAACTGATGATATTGTTACACTGTGAATATTAGAATTCCGAATGTGGATAGTACTATTATAATAATAACAACGCATGGTGCATGTCTGACAGCATGTGGCTTACAAAATGTCTACTAGGTTCTGGAAGTAAAGGGCCATAATTGAACAGCCTCAACTAAAGCCAATTATTCTTAAAACCATGCAATGAACTAAATGTTAACAGCCACATGATGACTGTGATCTTTTTAAAAATAAATATTCTGTAGATTTTTACAATATACCGTAAGTTTGTTTAAAAAAAAGAAAATCAGACAAACTATTCACAATCATACATGTAAATAGGTGCTCAAAATACATTGAACTCAAAATACAGAAAGCATGAACTGTTTCAAAGATAATTTTTCAAGAAGGTTTTGGTAGCATTTTAGAAGATAGTTTTATCAATATTTGGCAATGTACAGGGATGTTCAGATGGTATTTTAGAAAATGTGAATATTTGTTTATTTTTCCAGGGAAGTTCTGAAGTTTAGAAGGTGTGAAAGTTTGTAAACAGTTGTTTGTTTGTTTATTTTCCCAGGGAAGTCCTGGTGGTTCTTGATACGAAGGAGGAGGCGAGAGTTGAGTTGATAGTGTCTTACGTGGTGAGCAAGGCTCGCTGGGCGCCTAAATACGACATGAGAGTCTTCACTAAGGACAGTGCAATGAAGGTAAGACTGGACGGAAGTCCTTAACACTGGCCGGTAAATCCTTAAGACTGGCCAGAAGTCCTTAAGGCTCGCTGGAATTCCTTAAGGCTGGTTGGAAGATCCTTAAGACTTGCTGGAAGTCCTTAAAGGGACACACACAAGAAGTTTGATAAAATCTGTCAGTACATGTATGTCATGCATGGTATGTCGGAAAAGTGGTTTCCACACTTAGTTCGTTAGTCCGTCGTAGTTTAGAGCGCTGCCGGCCGGTCGTTTGAAGTTGGGGCTAGCGCCTATCGTTCACAAATTGGCCACCGCCATACCTTCACAATGACGTAATCGCAAAGTTCTTAAGAACCAGGTCAACGTCGCACGCATGGCGTAATGACAGATTTTATCAAATCTCTTGTGTCCCTTTAAGAGTTTCTAAGACTTTGCATGGCCTGAGATTCTCACAAGAAACCTGCTGCATGGTTGAAAAGGCAGTCCAGGCTGCCCATGGTGAGTGGTTTTCATATAAAACATTGTTGATTTTTTCAGAAGAGCATGGGGACTAAATTAGAGTAGACTGAGATATGCTGTCGAACGTACTGAGTTTCTGATTTTGTCTTTTTCTGACCCATTCAGGCATAGAACTAGATGAGGCATGGTTCTGGATCTGCAGAGACTATCCAGAACCGTGCCTGATCCTCACCCTAACACTTTACTAGACAGGCACAGTTCTGGATACACCAGAGACTATCCAGAACCATGCCTGATCCTCACCCTAACACTTTACTAGACAGGCACAGTTCTGGATACACCAGAGACTATCCAGAACCATGCCTGATCCTAACCCTTAGACACTTTACTAGACAGGCACAGTTCTGGATACACCAGAGACTATCCAGAACCATGCCTGATCCTAACCCGAAGGTGCTACTGGACAGGCACAGTTCTGGATACAATAAGGACTATTCAGAACCCTCCTTTTCCTAATGCGTTGCCGGACATGCACAGTTCTGGATCATCATGTCTTAAACAAGCAAAGTGCATGCCAAACGTCTGAGCATGTGTGGGCATGCTACCTGTACAGCAATGTGACAGAGTTTTTGGCGACACCCCGCGGGGCCTAGCCATGAGTAGCATGTATGTCCTGTGTAAGAGAGCTGACAGGCTCAGTGTAGCACTTGCCGCTCCCGTTTGCAGGGCGAGGATTGGGTGGACATTCATACATTTCTTTTACCATCACCCTTCCTTAAGGTCAGTACAGACTCCCTCCTACCTTGCTCTTGTAACAGTGGGGGGTTCCCGTATGGTCTGGCGGTTAGGATTCGACCATGGTTCGATAGGACGTTAGATGGAGGGACCGTGTTTGGGAGAGCCACACCCAACGCACGTTAAAGAACCCACCGCACTTATCGTAAAGAGTAGGGGACCTTCCCGGTGTGAGTGGTTCAAATCTTACAGTCCGGTCTCGGGGTTGACATCTTTGAAGAGGTGATAGTCACCTGTTATGTCAATCCTTCCACAAATGTGGTAAATCGTCATAAAATAAAAATTAAGAAAATAAAGATCCCGGTGTGGGAACCACTGTAAGAAACAGGAGGAGCGAGTAGAAACAGATAGAAAACCCTGGTCCCGGGCCGGGGTTCGAACCCACGACCTCCCGAGCACCAGCTTCAGACTCCGACGCTCTTACCACTCGGCCAAAAGGTCTAGACCCGTCGGCAGGGTCAGTTGGTAGCTCCTATAACCCCCCCCCCCACTGTTACACTCACTCAGGGAACTCCCAGCCAAGAAGGCACTTCTCACTACAGTTTGACCACACCAATTTTGGTTCATAGATTCGCCTACTTCATTTTTCTCTGATTCCCAAAAGAAAAGAAAAAATTCAGGCTCAGAATGAACTCCAAAATGATCATATATTTGTTTTTGTTTGAATTACAAACCTGGTACATTGACGTCATGGCTCCTATCAGTATTTGGAGCTATCATAACATGCCTGTTTTTTTTGCCCGTTGCTTCATATTTTTTTCTGAAAAAATCCGACAACCAACAAATCAAATTGGTGTGGCCTTTGTTAGATACAAGGAGGGCGCCATTGGTCATTTTTAGAAAATTAGGCATATTGTCCAAAATTTGAAGTTTCCATGTTATGTCATAAATGGTATTCATTGTACAAAACAAGCTATTCTTGTAAATTTATGTGTTTAGAAATTAAATCACTCAGGTATTCTTTATGTTTTGTGTTACGTTCATCAGAGTTTGCATGTACGTGTCGTTTAGTTCAATTTAATTCATTCTTCACATCTTTGTGACTATGTACAAGACTGTTTAATACAGTGTAGCTATGCCACTAAACATGAAACCCTAGAAAAGTGGTAGAAAGTGTGTGAGTTGTGAGATTGCCTGCTTGGCTGTGCAGAGTTGCCCCTGTTTTGCATGTTCTGAGTCAGCATGCTTCACAGTTATAACCTGTCCAACTAACTCACTGGTCAGATAACAACACACACTCAGTAACACAGGCTCAAGTGTGCACATTCAACCAAAATTTTCCTGTTTTGCCTCCAGTTTTGGTCTGAGAATTTGACCAGTTTGAAACTGTCTGTCACCTAACAAATGTTCTAGTTTTAATGCTTGAGTGTCAGCCTTGTAGACGCTTCATTGTTGAATTATATTGGATGTCTTTTTTGCATGTTTGAACTTGAAAACTTCGAAACCTACTGTATTATACAACAATGTGTCTGATTTGGATTGAAGGCAACTGTTCCCATGCTTGTTGACATTTTCATGTAAGTCACACTCAGTCATTTTTGCTAAACCTGAACCTTTCTTTACAACCCGCCTCAAATTGAGACATCAGGTCAGTTCTTTCCGCTGAGTTCTGAACAATTTTCCTCATCATTTTGCTGATAAAAACATTTTCCTTGGAAGTTTTGAAGTCAATCCTTGCCCTGTGAATGGAGGAGCCTGTACTTCGCTAGTCTTAGTGCTCACATGTATTATTTATATACTCACATGTACATTGTATTACGCCTACTTGCTTCACATGTTAGTAATGCTTGCATGGTCTTGCTAGGAACAACTTGTATAAGTCGAAAGTCGTACCTTGAAAAACAAATCGACACTCAATATCAGCTAAATACCTGCCCAGTTTGCTCACTGAGTCTGGTAAAAAGTAGAGTTTATAGTTTAGTGTGGTTAAAAGATTTTTGGAAAGATTTTTGTGTTGTCAAGGAACGTGCTGCTTTGCAAGTTGTTTCCATAGCTGCTTGTCTGGGCTTAGTTACTATAGCCTTACAGAAGAACTTTATTGCACGACAAGTGCACATATATATACAGGGACTGGTCGTAGGAACGGCAGCTATTAAACAATCAAACTAAATAGACTAAAGTTGTCATCACTGTATTAGTATGTATCATTTTGCATCAACCAAGTAGAAAACACTCTCACGTTCAACAGAAATAACATTTTTTGATGCATTTGTTTTTAGGTCTGGTTTGCCCTGTCCTTGGTGCTGAAACAGTGATCAAGTTGTGGTAAAACGTTGTTGGGTTGTTACGATCCTCGCTGGGGGCCTTCTTACCTCTTAAACTGATGTACTCTCTTCTGAAACCTTTCTTGTTCCATTCTAAATTCTACGTTCAATTACCCTTGACCCTTTAAAGTTGAACTTGATCTTTATTACTCTAAGAAAATTACAGTGGAACTCTTTCCATCTGCCAAGTTCTGGCAGCAGCCTTACTCCTATCACCAGTCCTTGGTTATTCTTCCTTGTCTCTTGTATTGTGCACATGTTGTACATGTGTTGTGCAGATGTTGTGCACATGTTGTACAAATGTTGTATGCATGTTGTACACACATTGTACACACATTGTACACACGTTGTACAGAATCTGATGTTGTACACGTGTTGCACAGATGTTGTACACACGTTGTACACACATTGTACAGATGTTGTACACCATCTTGTACACACGTTGTACACATGTTGTACAGATGTTGTACAGATGTTGTACACATGTTGTAGACATGTTGTACACCTGTTGTACAGTTGTTGTACACACGTTGTACACACGTTGTACACATGTTGTACACACNTTGGTCATTTTTAGAAAATTTGGCATATTGTCCAAAATTTGAAGTTTCCATGTTATGTCATAAATGGTATTCATTGTAAAAAACAAGCTATTCTTGTAAATTTATGTGTTTAGAAATTAAATCACTCAGGTATTCTTTATGTTTTGTGTTACGTTCATCAGAGTTTGCATGTACGTGTCGTTTAGTTCAATTTAATTCATTGTTCACATCTTTGTGACTATGTACAAGACTGTTTAATACAGTGTAGCTATGCCACTAAACATGAAACCCTAGAAAAGTGGTAGAAAGTGTGTGAGTTGTGAGATTACCTGCTTGGCTGTGCAGAGTTGCCCCTGTTTTGCATGTTCTGAGTCAGCATGCTTCACAGTTATAACCTGTCCAACTAACTCACTGGTCAGACAACAACACACACTCAGTAACACAGACTCAAGTGTGCACATTCAACCAAAATTTTCCTGTTTTGCCTCCAGTTTTGGTCTGAGAATTTGACCAGTTTGAAACTGTCTGTCACCTAACAAATGTTCTAGTTTTAATGCTTGAGTGTCAGCCTTGTAGACACTTCATTGTTGAATTGTATTGGATGTCTTTTTTGCATGTTTGAACTTGAAAACTTCGAAACCTACTGTATCATACAACATAGGATGTGTCTGATTTGGATTGGAGACACAGCGTGCAAAATACCTGGTTGCCCAGTTGCCCCGGGCAACCAAATTTTACTTGGGGCAACCTATTTTGGAGCCTAGGTTTCCCAGTGTGCTACCTGAATTTTAGATGCCCCCCCAAAAAAATCATACCCACTTGGCTTGCACCACTGTATCCGGCAGATGCTTTTCAATTTTAGGTATTAATGGTTATTACTAGTATCAGTGTTAGAAATATTGTCAAAAGCTATATGTATATAGCATTACTTAATTTGAGGAAAGTAGTAACTTATAGGTGGGGCAACCTAAAATTCTGATGGGCAACCTAGTTTTTGCCCACTGGGCAACCTGGTTCAAAGAAGTATTTTATACACTGATACAAATGTTCCCATGCTTGTTGACATTTTTATGTAAGTCACACACAGTCATTTTTGCTAAACCTGAACCTTTCTTTACAACCTGCCTCAAATTGAGACATCAGGTCAGTTGTTTCTGCCGAGTTCTGAACAATTTTCCTCATCATTTTGCTGATAAAAACATTTTCCTTGGAAGTTTTGAAGTCAATCCTTGCCCTGTGAATGGAGGAGCCTGTACTTTGCTAGTCTTAGTGCTCACATGTATTATTTATATACTCACATGTACATTGTATTACGCCTACTTGCTTCACATGTTAGTAATGCTTGCATGGTCTTGCTAGGAACAACTTGTAAAAGTCGAAAGTCGTGCCTTGAAAAAACAAAATTGACACTCAAAATCAGCTAAATATCTGCTCTCTCAGTCTGGTAAAAGTAGAGTTTAAAGTTTGGTGTGGTTGAAAGCTTTTTGGAAAGATTTTTTGTGTTTTCAAGGTGTGTGCTGCTTTGCTTTGCAAGTTGTTTCCATAGCTGCTTGTCTGGGCTTAGTTACTATAGTTACTGTAGTCTTATATACAGGGACTGGTCATAGGAAAGGCAGCTATTAAACAATCAAACAAATAGACTAAAGTTGTCATCACTGTATTAGTATTCATCATTCTGCATCAGCCAAGTAGAAAACACTCTCACGTTCAACAGAAATAACGTTATTTGATGCTTTTGTTTTTAGGTCTGGTTTTCCCTGTCCTTGGTGCTGAAACAGTAATCAAGTTGTTGTGGTAAAATGTTGTTGGGTTGTTACGATCCTCGCTGGGGGCCTTCTCACCTCTTAAACTGATGTATTCTCTACTGAAACCTTTCTTATTCCATTCTAAATTCTACATTCAATTACCCTTGAATCATTACAGTTGTTCTTGATCTTTATTACTCTAAGAAAACTACAGTCAAACTCTTACATCTGCCAGGCAACAGCCTTACTCCTATCTCCAGTCCTTGGTTATTCTTCTTTGTCTCTTGTATTGTGCACATGTTGTACACACGTTGTACACATGTTGTACACACGTTGTACAGACGTTGTAGACACACTACACTCTGACTCTGCCTGTAACTCCGCTCTGCCCTCTCCACAGCCCCCCCGGCCTGGATCCAGTCATGCTCGCCGTGTTACTACTAACCGCTGGCTGAATAAGAGTGTTGCCTTGCAGATCCAGTATTTCGGCGTGATCCGGCAGAACACAGGGGAGAACTGGCAGGACGCCACCATCTCCCTCTCCACCTCCCTCCCCAGCGTGGGGGGAACGGCTCCCAGCCTGGGCACACAGGTCCTCTCCTTCAAAAATAGGTCAGACGGGTGAGTTTTCTGTCACATAGGGCAGGGGGAGGGGGCACCCA